AATAACCCAACAAAAAGCTGCAGTAAGAATAATCACTAAATCCCATCCCTGGCAGCACACCCCCCCACTCTTCAAAGATCTAAACTTACTCCCAGTTCAGTACATCCACACTTACTACTGTGCAATCTATATCTACAGGGCCTTAAACTCTAATATCAACCTTGACCTAAAACGCTTTCTTGATAGTTGTGACAGAACCCACAGGCATAACACCAGACACAAACATCTTTACGACATTCCCCGTGTCCGACTAAACCTTTACAAAAATTCAATGTATGTCAAAGGCCCTAAAATCTGGAATACCCTACCTGAGAACTCTAGAACTGCAGACACATTCATCACTTTCAAAACTACCATTAGAAAACATCTTATCTCCCTGATACATCCCGTCAACTAACTACACGAATACCACCTGGTGGTTCACACTTACACTCGCTCACTCATTTGACCATAAACAGAAATATTAATCTCAGTCTTAAAATAATGAATCCTGTGATACTCCAATACTGAAACTATATACTGTGCCAAAACAAAAGCATTCACATTGCTAAACTCATAAACTAGTATTTAGTCACTTAGCCATAATACCAACTTACCTCATAATTTGTAATATTTTACAATTAAGAATAAAACTAAGTATGCCCGAAATGCCTAGCCATGCTAAGCGTTCTAGTGGTACACTCTGTAATCACAATTTTACTACATGTAAACCAAACAATAACCAAATTTCTGTAAACTCAGCATTGTAATCCTTATAGAGAATAAACTTTGAATCCTCACAAACTTTTGTGATTTGTCCAACCAAGGCATGTTCTTACCTCCATCAATTGTCACACATTGCAGTTCATTTCACTCTAGTTATTATTCTAACAGTTTTATGCAGTTCTTTCAAGATGTCTTCCCTGGTTACCGTGCTGTGCGTTGATGCTAATTCTTGTGTGACATTAAACTCATTATCGACGCCACGGATGCATACCAGTTGTGATGAGTAACTCACATCATTCAAATCAAGTGTGAGAGAATAAAAGTGAAAATTTAATGAAGTATATTGCTTCCTATTCCCTCATTTTTACTAGCAACAATACTGGCGCAAAACTGAGTATTGTGACCAGACTTGGTTATTCTGGGCATAACTCTCCCAGTGCTTCCATCATACACTCTTTGATCAGATCTTCATCAATGAATTCCTTTCAACTTTTATTTACTGCATAAACTACTTTGTAACTTGTCCTTGTTAAACCTTCATTTTCATCTCTCTTCTGCATGAAAAAAAAAAACTTGTTCGGAAAGCAACCTGCGTTTCATTCTTTTTTTTTTTTTTCCGAATGCTGTGTTTCCCGCGAACTGGGAATAACTTGGTTTATATTTGGTCTCATAGTTCGGACGTACATTGTACTCATTCAAAACTGCCTACCCGGAGTCTACCTGGAGGGCATTCCGAGGATCAACGCCCCCGCGGCCCGGTCCATGACCAGTCCTCCTGGTGGATCAGGGCCTTATCAACTATGCTGTTACTGCTGGCCGTACGTGGTCCAATGTACGATCATTGACAGGGTTTTCAGGTTCCTTCAATTTTTTTCATTAACACACTGGCCGATTCCCACCAAGGCAGGGTGGCCCGAAAAAGAAAAACTTTCACCATCATTCACTGTCTTGCCAGAAGGGTGCCTTTCACTACAGTTTTTAAACTGCAACATTAACACCGCTACTTCATGAAAAAATCATTTGGATTGTCGATCTTTAAACTGACTGGTGGCTCACTAAACACAGAGTCGTATTTAGATCTCAGTATCTCATTCACTGTCATCTGTGTAAGTTCCATCTTGTCCGAACAGGGACCTGATACTATACCTGGAGAGGGTTTCGGGAGTCAACTCTCTATTGTGTGGTTAGAATTTGTTTTATACCCTGATACACTTTTAATTCCCTCAAGTTTTTAATATCTGAGTAGTTGAAATTTCTCTTCATTGAACTTCATATTGTTTTCTGAGGCCCATTTAAAGATTTTTGTTGATGCTTAAAGTTGCATGTTCCATTTGTTTTTTCCAGACATTCCATGCTTAGAGATGCTCCAAGCATAAAATTTACACTATTTTGCTTTTGGTTGGATAAAATTCGTGGTAGAAGCATTCCCAGTTTGTGCCGACCCTAGACCTGCACTACAGTCTTCTGTAGCTGACTTTCAGCTGTTCCCTCCTGTTCCAGTTTCCCATTTTTGTCCCTTCTGTCCTTCAGTGTTATTAGGTTGAGTTCCCTTAACTTTTCCTCATTGGACATACCCTTTAGCTCCGGGACTAGTCTCGTTGCAAATCTCTGCACTTTCTTCAATTTCTTGACATACTTGACCAGCTATGGGTTCCAAATTAGTGCTGCATACTCCAGTAAGGGCCTGACGTATACGGTATACAGTTTTGTGAATGTCTCCTTAGATGTGTAAAAGCTAGTTTTAGATGTGTGTGCGTGTACTCACCTATTTGTGCGTATGTATGTATGTATGTATGTATGTATGTATGTATGTGTGTATGTATGTATGTATGTATGTATGTATGTATGTATGTATGTATGTGTACTCACCTAGTTGAGGTTGCGGGGGTCGAGTCCGAGCTCCTGGCCCCTGTGTGCGTTGTGTGTGTGTGTGTGTGTGTGTGTGTGTGTGTGTGTGGTTGTGTGTGTGTGTGTGTGTGGTGTGTGTGTGTGTGTGTGCTCACCTAGTTGAGGTTCGCGGGGTCGAGTCCGAGCTCCTGGCCCCGCCTCTTCACTGATCGCTACTAGGTCACTCTCCCTGAGCCGTGAGCTTTATCATACCTCTGCTTGTGTGGTGTGTGTGTGTGTGTGTGTGTGTGTGTGTGTGTGTGTGTGTGTGTGTGTGTGTGTGTGTGTGGTGTGTGTGCGGTGTGTGTGTGTGTGTGCGTGTGTATTCACCTAGTTGTGCTCACCTAGCTGTGGTTGCAGGGGTCGAGTCACAGCTCCTGGCCCCTCCTCTTCAGTGGTAATAAAGCTGGTAGAATTACCGACAATATGTAAAGTAAAAGGACACAAGTGCAACTAATGTGACATTTGAGCTTGATAAAGCTCCTGGAGAGCGAAACGTTGCCACAATAAATGTCACATTAGTTGCACTTGTGTCCTTTTTCTTCAGTGGTAGTTACTGTGTGTGTGTTTGTGCATGTGTGTATTTTGTGTGTGTGTGTGTGTACTCACCTATTTGTACTCACCTATTTGTGGTTGCAGGGGTCGAGTCTTAGCTCCTGGCCCCGCCTCTTCACCGGTTGCTACTGGGCCCTCTCTCTCCCTGCTCCATGAGCTTTATCAAACCTCGTCTTAAAACTGTGTATGGTTCCTGCCTCCACTACGTCATTTTCTAGGCTATTCCACTGCCTTACAACTCTATGACTGAAGAAATACTTCCTACTATCTCTCTGACTCATTTGTGTCTTCAACTTCCAATTGTGGCCTCTTGTTTCTGTGTCCCCTCCCTGGAACATCCTGTCCTTGTCCACCTTGTCTATTCCACGCAGTATTTTATATGTCGTTATCATGTCTCCCCTGACCCTCCTGTCCTCCAGTGTCGTCAGGCCGATTTCCCTTAATATTTCTTCATAGGACATTCCCTTTAGCTCTGGAACTAACCTTGTCGCAAACCTTTGTACTTTCTCTAGTTTCTTGACGTGCTTTATCAAGTGCGGGTTCCAAACAGGTGCTGCATACTCCAGTATGTGTGTGTGTGTGTGTGTGTGTGTGTGTGTGTGTGTGTGTGTGTGTGTGTGTGTGTGTGTGTGTGTGTGTGTGTGTGTGTGTGTGTGTATGTGTGTGCATGTGTGTGTGTGTGTGTGAACTAAAACTTAATATTAGTTACAATACGAATAAAATAAATACAAGGAAAACTAACACTAATTGTTTTTTCACTCTAAATATATTTCCACATTTCATGGGGTGAGAAAATTAGCATATTCTTCCATATATTCAAATTCCTGTCATAATTTTTACATATTTTATATTTTTTTTCTATGACAATTACAGTGGTGGGGGTATGTGTTTTTTTTTTCTTTTTTTCTGTTGAGAATTTTTTATTTTTCGTCTTTGTTTTTTGGTAATGTTTCTTATACTGTCTCAGCAATCTCTCTTGTCTTTATTTTCACATTCTTTATAAAATTCTATCACGTTCTTCAAGACATACATTTTGCGATTTTTTTTTTTTCAGAAAGTTTACTGTATATGCCTACAGCTAATTATCCCTCCTCCATATTCAGCAACAACTTCTGTTTTCTGAGAACTTCCAAAATTTGCCTACTGGCAGAAGGACTTGTCTGGAATTATTTTAGGAGGCCTGGTCACAGACCGGGCCGCGGGGGCGTTGACCCCCGGAACTCTCTCCAGGTAAACTCCAGGTAAATAACCCACGTTGATGACTGAACAATAACAGTGAGAGAAAGATCACCTGGAGGCAGAACTCATATTTTAGACTCACAACACTCACATAAAGAATAAATGATCTGGATATGATAAGATTTACCATGATACATATAAGAAGCCACCTGGAAGCACAAGATGTAGAGCACTGGAGGACAGGAGGGTCAGAGGAGACATGATAACGACATATAAAATACTGCGCGGAATAGACAAGGTGGACAAAGACAGGATTTTCCAGGGAGGGGACACAGAAACAAGAGGTCACAATTGGAAGTTGAAGACTCAGATGAATCAAAGGGATGTTAGGAAGTATTTCTTCAGTCATAGAGTAGTCGGGAAGTGGAATAGCCTAGAAAGTGACGTAGTGGAGGCGGGAACCATACATAGTTTTAAGACGAGGTTTGATAAAGCTCATGGAGCAGGGAGAGAGAGGACCCAGTAGCAACTAGTGAAGAGGCGGGGCCAGGAGCTAAGACTTGACCCCTGCAACCACAAATAGGTGAGTACACACACACAGAACAAGCCAAAACTCACTTGGAGAGACAGCACTCCTCACCTGGAGGCAGAAGGCAAGTGTCTATAGAACATACCTGGAGATAGGAGGGCAGGATGTAGCCGGAGCGAGTCACCAGCTCTAGCTCCAGGACGATGGAGTCCTCGGTTGTCTCTGAGCCATCGTGGACGTAAGTGACGCGGTCGTTGTTGAGGTCTAGCAAGGTGAAGATGTTCTCCTCAGGTCGACGCCAGATGTGTACGTCAAGACGACCTCTGGAGGGGCGCGTGATCACGTGGAACAACACACCTGACTCCCGGACACCGTACTGGCAACAGAGAAGACAACATGTTTATTGAAACAACACTGGATTCCCCTGAACTGCAAGACAACTCAGTTTTGAATGATTGTTAAATTGTGGCAAAAAACTAGCTATGTTTCCGTGGCATATTGCAACACAGTTAAATCTGATGTATGAAGAGGATATCGTCGAGTAATGCAGTGTTGGTTTAGATGGTCGATCCAGCAGAGCTGACGCTGCTGTTACTTGGAACTTAGCATTTCATTTGATATTCTATCCCAAACACCAAAGAAATATAATTTATAAAGCTATTATCCTCACGGGAAAAGAGGAAGAGGGGAATGAAAAAGACAGGAAAGATAGGACACAATAAGACAGTAACCTTCCTGAAGGACAGAGAAAAACTCATAAAAGAAAATGAAAGAGTGGCTTGTATACGATACTTTCACAATCGTTAAATGTGACACCACCAACGACTGCTGCACCTCTCCTGCCTACAGTATATAAGCTACTTCTTCGCACAAATGCTTTATTCTTTTCAAGATTGATGGACTGATTACATCGACTCAAGGCTGAGGGACTGATTATCTTAAACTCCTCCTGTTCTTCACCAATCTCCTTTGTGTGGACTGATGAAGCCACTGTGTGGCGAAACATTCCCTCATTAAAGATACCCAAATTAAACACATGTGCAACATGTGTTTAATATATATATATATATATATATATATATATATATATATTATATATATATATATATATATATATATATATATATATATATATATATATATATATATATATATATATATTCAACAAGTCGGCCGTCTCCCACCGAGGCAGGGTGACCCAAAGAGAAAGAAAATCCCCAAAAAGAAAATACTTTCACCATCATTCAACACTTTCCCCCTCACTCACACATAATCACTGTTTTTGCAGAGGTGCTCAGAACACAACAGTTTTAAGCATATACCTTTTAAAGATACACAACATATCCTCCAAACTGCTAATATCCCGAACCCCTCCTTTAGAGTGCAGGCATTGTACTTCCCATTTCCAGGACTCAAGTCCGGCTATATAAAAATAACCGGTTTCCCTAAATCCCTTCACTAAATATTACCCTGCTCACACTCCAACAGATCGTCAGGTCCCAAATACCATTCGTCTCCATTCACTCCTATTGAACACGCTCATGCACACCTGCTGGAAGTCCAAGCCCCTCGCCCACAAAACCTCCCTTACCCCTTCCTTCCAACCTTTTCGAGAACGACCCCTACCCCGCCTTCCTTCTCCTACAGATTTAAATGCTCTCCATGTCATTCTACTCTGATATATTCTCTCTAAATGACCAAACCACCTTAACAACCCCTCTTCAACCCTCTGACTAATACTTTTATTAACTCCACACCTCCTAATTTCCACACTTCGAATTTTCTGCATAATATTTACACCACATTGCCCTTAGACAGGGCATCACTGCCTCCAACCGCCTCCTCGCTGCTGTATTTACCACCCAAGCTTCACACCCATATAAGAGTGTTGGTACTACTATACTTTCATACATTTCCTTCTTTGCCTCCATAGATAACGTTTTTTGACTCCACATATACCTCAACGCACCACTCACCTTTTTTTCCCTCATCAATTCTATGATTAACCTCATCCTTCATAAATCCATCCGCCGACACGTCAACTCCCAAGTATCTGAAAACATTCACTTCTTCCATACTCCTCCTTCCCAATTTGATATCTAATTATTTTTTATCTAAATCATTTGATACCCTCATCACCTTACTCTTTTCTATGTTCACTTTCAACTTTCTACCTTTACACACACTCCCAAACTCATCCACTAACCTTTGCAATTTTTCTTTAGAATCTCCCATAAGCACAGTATCATCAGCAAAAAAGTAGCTGTGTCAATTCCCATTTTGAATTTGATTCCCCATAATTTAATCCCACCCCTCTCCCGAACACCCTAGCATTTACTTCTTTTACAACCCATCTATAAATTTTATTAAACAACCATGGTGACATTACACATCCCCGTCTAAGACTACTTTTACCGGGAAGTATTCTCCCTCTCTTCTACACACCCTAACCTGAGCCTCACTATCCTCATAAAAACTCTTTACAGCATTTAGTAACTTACCACCTATTCCATATACTTGCAACATCTGCCACATTGCTCCTCTATCCACTCTATCATATGCCTTTTCTAAATCCATAAATGCAATAAAAAATTCCCTATCTTTATCTAAATACTGTTCACATATATGCTTCAATGTAAAACACTTGATTTACACATCCCCTACCCATCTGAAACCTCCTTGCTCATCTGCAATTCTACATTCTGTCTTACCTCTAATTCTTTCAATAATAAACGTACTGTACAACTTTTCCTGGTACGGTAGGGTTATTTATATTTTATATATATATATATATATATATATATAATATATATATATTATATATATATATATATATTTTATATTTATATATATATATATATATATATATATATATATATATATATATAATATTATTTATATATATATATATTTTTAAAATATATTATATATAAAATATATATATATATATTTTATATATATATATATATATATATATATATATATATATATATATATATATTATATATACGTAAGACAAGACTGATGGGTACTCACCTTTTGGTAGTCTAGTACAAGGTTGAGGTGGTTGGAGGTGATGAGTACTTGCCCGCCCTCCTGCACCTCCATGGGTGTTAAGCTTAAAACCTGCAACACGAAGAGCACAGTTGGAGCGACGAGGCAATGGTACGAAGGCCAAAATAAATGGGATTGACGAGTAAAAAATGGTGGAGAGAGAGAGAAAATGTGTAGGGAGGATAATAAATAGTGTGGAAAGGGCATGAAGGAAGGTCACATATGTCTTCAGAAAAAGACAGATGAAATAAGCAATGGAGAATAGATATAGAAACAACGGAGAAAGGAAATATAAACAAGTAGCAAAGTAAGAACAATGAAGGGAGAAGGAATAACGGAGTAGGGGGAGGGGAGGAAGAATAAGGAACGAGAAAAGTTGGAATTACAAGGAAAGCAAGAATAGCACACGAAAAGAGCAATAGAAGATGGATAATAAACAGGGAAGGGAAGGAAAAAAGCTTTTTTTACATTAGACTCAGCGTGTGTTACTTAAAAAAGCAAATTCTGCAGATAATGCAAAACCTAATACACATATAATTTTTATGAATTAAATTCTTCACAATTTATGACGAAATATGTATCATTTTTTCCCCTTTCCTAAATGATAATGGTAAACTTCCATTTTTAGCCCAGATAAGGTTATAATTTACAGTGTAAACAAATACTGTAGGTGCTGTGATCCCACCTCAAGATCAGAAGGCAGCGTCGTCTTGGTGAAGACCTTGTAGGCTGTGGTGAAGTTCTGACGAACACACAGTGCTAGCTCACACTCACACTTGAAGCCGTCAGTGCCTTCCTGAATACACCGGCTGCCGTCGACACAGGGATTCTTGAGGCATGGGTATGCCCACTGGCACTCTGCCTTGATGCCCAGGGTCACCTGGGCGTCCTTTATGCTCAAGCTCTTGTCCCCTACACTTACGTTCTGGATACATCCCTCGAGGCTGGCAGAGACGGTGGTAAAGGCTACAATAATTACAGTGACACACATCACCACGTACACATTTCCACACTATACACTAACAAAAGAGAAATTTTACCCAAGCGACAAGATGCATCAGTATAGCTTATTCAAGTTTTTTCAGACATACTAAACGAACATTGCTGATTCTGATACGGAGAGTAATATAGGTTCATCAACCACTTTTCTTCCTCATCCACATACACGCTTCAGAAAAGAAACTGTATAGAGAAGTCGCCCTACATTTCTTCACTCCCCCCACTTAGTGCATATTTAGTTAAAGTTGCTTAATAACTCCAACATGCCAGATACCGTAGACTTTAGATTGTCAAGAGTCGGAGACAATGTTGTAAATTACTATTAGACAGTACCTGGAGTTTACCTGGAGAGGGTTTCAAGGGTCAACGCCCCCGCGGCCCTGTCTGAGACCAGGCTTCATGGTGGATCAGGGTCTGATCAACCAGGCTGTTACTGCTGGCCGCACGCAAGCTGACGTACGAACCACAGCCCGGTTGGTCAGGTACTGACTTTAGATGCCTGTCCAGTGCCTTCTTGAAGACAGCCAGAGGTCTATTGGTAATCCCCCTTAAATATGCTGGGAGGCAGTTGAACAGTCTTGGGCCCCGGACACTTATTGTGTTGTCTCTCAGTGTACTCGTGGCGTCCCTGCACCACGAGTACTCTTCCAGAATTTTAATTACAATTACAGTTGCAATTACTTGATAAGAAAAAATAAGCTACAGATGCCTCTAAAATCTAGGTAGCCTGGTTACAAGCCATATTTTTTCTTAGCCATGCCTGAGTCTCACTGGCAAACCAGTGAGACTCAGGCATGGTTTCCAGCTATTTTATTCTCGTCCTGTATGTTCTGACCACACGAGCGATACACGAGGAATTTACAGGGAAAGATCGCGATCGGCTGGATTTGAGCCCATTTCTGGGGAATGGCATAGTTCTCCGTGTGATGCCTTAGACCAATAAGCTAAAGATGCCTTTAAAAGCTAGGTAGCAATGTCACTCTCCACATACCTGTGTTTTTCACAAAGTAATCTCTTGATCTTAAGTTATCATCGCTAGTTTTAATAATCTAGACAGTTTCTGTGAAATCATTGGAAAATGCCTCTTCTGACTAGACGTAAGTGACTGTTTGACTATATTCGGTTTTCCTAAGTCAAATCAACTTAATGTTCTTTTATTGTTAAACATTTCTATGCTATGCACAATAAGATAAAAGACTTATTTTGGATATTGGTCTGCTTGTTCTCTTTGCAAAATTTGAATTAGATTAAGGCTGTGTAATATTCTAATTTACCTTTTTTTTTTAAGAAATTAGGATATTACCTCCCTTAAAGTGACTTGTGAATTCCTCTTCCGATTCCCTTAAAATCTTCAACACTGTATAACTTATGCCTCACTCTGTACAGTTCAACTCGCGTGCACAGAGGCAAGTGGTTTTGGGGTCATGGAATAAAGGGATACCTTCATCGGATCGCACAGGATCGCACAGGATCGCACAGGATCGCACTGCAACTAAAATATTGTGTTCACACTAGGATGGTAGGACAGCATGTCGGGTATAAGTCATCCGAAAATCAGCCACTAAGGGTAACCGCATACAAAGGTGGAAACCAATGGAACAATTGAGCAGGAGCCTTAATACTGGCAGGAAAAAAATCATTGAAAATAAGACAAACAAACTTTTGAAATGTACTGTCAAAAAACTGCGGTAAAAATTAAAACAAATAACTGAAATTATTTTTAAGAGAATATAGGGAATCGGAAAAAACTAAGCCAAACATGTGTGGGTAACACTTTTTTTTTTTTAAAGGTGGGGAAAGAATTGTTAAGCAAAATCAATTAGTTTTGAGACTCTTTGACCACGGGTTCAAACCCCGCCCCTGGTATGTTTTTTCTTTTTTTAAAATCAATTACTATTTTTAGTAAATTTCATATAAAAAAATCTAGACGTTTTAGTACAGATGAGTAAACGTAGACTATTTTACATCTCTAGAGCTCCGAGTCTCGTGCTTAATTTTTTCTGAAAACGGTTAAGATATTCTGAAATCAAGTAATGTCATTATGAGGTAAACATACATTATTGATTATCCAGAGGAACAAACAGCGAAATCTTCATTATAACGTAATTATCATTCAAAATATTTAAACAATAATTCACGTGAGGAATTAAGAACACCAACCTCTTGTCACCATTCTTGGCTCCCTGGCTGACAGCTCTGGCTTGTTTATTTACCTCTACTCCCCCTATGAAGAGATAACCAGAGAGGTCAAAGAACTTGTTCTCGCCTACATGGGTTGGCTGGTCCTCAATGTGATCGTCAACGTTAAGTTCCATGTAGGCAGACTTGAAGTGAGCCTCTACCTTGTGCCACACGCCGTCACTGATGTAGATGGAACTGTAGGACGGGAGGGAAGTAGAAAGGGAATCAAAGATAATGAAGCTCAGGCCTATAAAAAATATAGTTGGCGGCCAGCAAGTAGCACAGCAAGTGATCATTAGTAAAGGTTATGGACAATACAGTATAGTCTCAAAATAATTCAATGAAAACCATTTGAAGTGTACAGTGTATTACTGAAAATATCCTTATAATATGTTGCTTTTGTGTTTTCTCTGACTCTCTATACACAAATAACCTGCACATAAGTTGAAACTTATGTAGGCATTTTGGTCTGACTTGGACCATTAACCAGGAACACAGCTCAAAGAGAAGCCAGAATATTTACTATAGCTGAGGTGGGATCAGGAGTAGTATAACACAGGGAAGGAATAGCATTATATTGGTGGTAATAGTGATGGTGGTAGTAGTAGTAGTAAAAGTATTGCAACAGTAGTAGAGGTGGCATCAAGAAGGCAGCAGTGCAAAAGAAAGGAAAAAGGTCAGAGAATGGAGACTTAGCAAAGAAATAGTAGTAGTATTAGCGGAGGTAGTCTAAGAACATGAGAAAAGAGGAGCTCTGCAGGAGAGCTAATGGCTGACGAGAGTAAGACATAACGCCATAGAACAAAACCCACCTAGGCAAAAGACAGGAAAGGCAAAGAAAATATAGGAAAGAAAACGAAAGAAGTGTTTTGAAGTTTGAAGCAGTTGACTGTGTAATGAGAAAGGAAGGCATCTATAGTAGGAAAGTTGAGTATAAGGGATGCTTCAACAAGATGGCATCTGTAAAGGCTAGAAGAAGAGTAACAATTTTGGTAGAGGACCAGTTAATGGGATGACTGTGCCCTTTATCATGACAGAAAAGAGCATTATTAATGTCAACAAGGTTAGCACTTCTTTTGCGTTCTTTAAGTCTGTCAGAAAGAGAGCAGCCAATTTCTCCAAAGTATTAGAGAGGACAAGAGGAGTAGGAAATGAAATAGGCTCCGGTAGTATCAGTAGAATGAGGAGAGGTACAAACTGGATAACTGGAAATATAGTGAAGGCAAAGAACAGGAAATTTCACAGGAGTAGAGAGTTTGGGAGAGAAGAAAGTTCATTTACCATGTGAATAAGCAAAGTTTATGAAATCGGTAGGATAGCCAATGCTAGAGAACGAATTGCAAAGAATGGAAAATTCTGAGTCAAGGAACTAAGAATCACAAATGCGGAGGGCGCGGAGAAAGAGCGAAATAAGAACACTTTTCTTGACAGAGGGAGCATGGTAAGTGAAGTAGTGAATGTACATGCCAGTGTGCATTTCCGTGCGATAAATGGATAAAAAAAAGCCAGTAGCCTAGCGATGGACATCTAGGAAGGGAAGCAAATTGTTAGATTCCCATTCAGTTTTGAACTTGATGGAAGAAGCAAGATTAAAAACTGCCTCGAGAAGAAACTAGAGCTATGGCCAGAGACCAACCATGTCTTCGTATCTACATAATAAAACCAGAGAGAACGCCATATATGATGTGATCGTCACTCCAGGAAATAAAATAAGACTTGCTTTTACTTTGAATATTGCTGGTACCTTTGACCGAGAATAACATTTCCCCCTTCTTACACAGCTTTGTTAAACCTCATCCCTGAAGCCCAAGCCTACTCAGGGAAAGAGATGCACTCCACATCATTAATTGATACGAAGTATTTTTATCAATGCGAAAGCCATGAAAGGAATCCCCGAATCTCATAAGCCCAGCCCACTCTGCTTCAATGCATACAAAATGATTAGTGCAGGATGGTCATGAAAATCTAATGCAGCGAAGTATAAAAGTGTTTGTTGTAGTGTGTAAATATCCATATACACTATTATGTATACATGCATGTGTATGTATAAATGTACATGAGTATGTAATGTAAATACATATGTAAACCTATTTGTCGTTTATATGAAAATAAATAGTTAATAATAAGTACATGTTTATATGTACTTGTGCGCACGTAATGTGTTTATGAATTACAATAGAATTTTCACGCACTTCCTAGGTGAACTACACAGTGTAGATTATGCTGTGCCAGACACTCCTATGTGAAGTAGCTAGGCGAGTTTCAGTGTGGTCGGTCATTCTGTTGAGGTTAGATGGGCTCTTTCTTGTAGTGTTACCAGTGTAAACAGTGTAACCGAATAAAATCTTCAAAAGAAAGAACAGCGTGTATGTGTGCGTGAAGTACTGTTTCAGGCTTGGTAAAACATCTATTAAAACTCAGAAAATGTTTCAGCAAGAACTTGGTGAAAAAGCAATGGTACAGTGTTTTGAGTGGGGTTTCTCGATTCACATAAGGACGATCGTCAGTTAACAGTGATGAACACTCTGGTGGTCCATGAACGTCGAAAACAGAAGACAACACTGAAAAAGAAAGAAGGTTTTTCACGGAGATCGTCGTCAGAGTATTCAGGACACTGCAAGTGCTGTGCGAATATCTTATTGGTCACGTCGGATCACTTCACTGAAAAACTGAATATAAGGCGAGTGGCTGAGAAATTTCTGCCCTGCTTGCTGACTCAAGACCAGAAAGACATAGTTTTCTGGTCGAAAACAACATGATAGTCATCTTCCACCCTGCCCACTTTTCCAAAAATAAAAATAGTGAATTTGCCCTATTTGCAAGGGTGTTCTGTGCCGAATTAGCAGAAAGAAAACGTTTTTGCTATAAATCAGCAGTAATCAATCTGAACATAAAGAAAAAATATATATCACTGATTTTTAATTAATATTAAATAAACGTAAACTGGTCTGTGCTATACTACACCACCTCAGATCACTCTCGGAGTGGAGGCACAGTAAGTGGTTCCCACTCAAGAGCAACAGATATTAGTAACAGCAATAAAAGCTACCCTACATACCATCAATACTACAGCATTTGTATTTGCAAATATGCAAGGTCTAATGCAAACAACAAGCAACACAATACCATCCATCAGTGGACTCCCTACAAAGTCAAATGCAACGTTTTTGGATTTCAGAGACCCATATAAAGGATCACTTTAACAACGAAATATCGATTCCAGGGTACAATTAATTCAGATGTGACAAAAACAACAGGCAATAAGTAGGGCTTGCCTTGTATTTCACAGTCTCTCATTTGCTTGGAATTACTAAATACATCCTGTCAACCTGTTGTATACAAGCCACCATATAAACTTCCAAGCAGTTCAAGAAACAGCTTTTGAAAACTGACTGCTTTCTGTAAAATCCTCCAACCCCAGCCCTAAATATTTTGTTGCTGGGCGATTTCAACTTATGACACGTAAAGTGGAGAAGTATGGCAAATAATATCTAAGCAGAGATAACCCCAAGAGACAGATATGATGAAAATCCACATTCATGAGATATTAAATCTCTGCAACAAATTCATAAAAAGTGGAACCAGCAAAACTGAAAAACACACTTGGCCTGGCATGAAATATAATAGTATCCAAGACAATACACTCAGATCACAACATAACTGAAGTACAGACATGCATGCAGAGGTTCCTGGACTTCACTAAGTTCAAGTTTAATACCTCAAACATAAAGTGGGACCAAACTAACCATGTCCTAAATGAAACAAGCTGGGAAGATATCCAAAACAACTTGGATCCGAACCTTCGCCTAAGAAAAAAGAAGAGACGTAAATTAGATAGAGAGAGATACTCCCTCTACAGGCGAAGGCTAAGAATCACAGAGCCGCTCAATGGGGCCGGTATACCTAAAATAAGGAAGGAGGCACTGGCCAGTGAAATAGAAAATATTGAACTTAAGCCAAAGGAATCATACAGGAGCCACGAACCACAGAAACAATTTAAAGCTATAAATTAAATAAAAAATATATATTTCTTTCCTAACTCCATATCCAGGGCAAAAACCACATCCAGTATTGGGCCACTGCTTAAACTAGATAAAACTTAAGCAGATGAAAGGAAAGAAATGAGTGAGATATTGAAGTCTCAGTATGACTAAGTATGCAAAAAAACCACGGTGGGAGTTGAATGATCAATTTTCCTGTGATTGTTTTGCATCTTATATCCTTGTTCGCAATTTCTGCATAATGACTGAGCATTTAGTGAGCCATTAATCAGACTAAGGGTCTACAGACAATCTAATTTTTTTTTTTTGACCGAGACTCTGAATTTGGTTAATTCAAGAATTTCTGATATAATCCTAACACCAAAGGACTTTGAGAAAACAATAACTAACATGCCCATGCACTCTGCCCCCAGACCCAAACTGTGGAACTCCGTGTTCATCAAGAACTGCAAGAAATCCCTTAAATATTCTATGGAGGGAGAGCACTAAAATCAGCAGTTATAGCCCCACTTCACAAAGGTGGCAGTAAAGCAACTGCAAAGAATTACAGACTGATAGCACTAACGTCCCACATCATAAAAATCTTTGAAAGGGTTATAAGAAGCAAGATCGCCAACCCACTTGGATATCCAACAACATGGGTTTCGAGCAGGTCGCTCCTGCCTCTCACAACTACTGGACCACTATGACATGGTCTTGGATGCACTGGAGAACAAATAGAATGCATATGTAGTGTAGCACACAAAATGGAAAAGTGGGTACATGGATCTATAACTTCCTAAATAGAAAACAAAGAGTAATAGTAAACAGAGTAAGCTCAGAGGTGGCTACAGTGAAAAGTTCTGTTCCATCAGGTGCAATACTTGCTCCCATCCTTTTCTCATCCTCATATCTGACAGAGAGATGAAAGCCACAGCACCGTGGTGATGATACCAAAATTTGCATGACAGTGTCATCAACTGAGGTCACTGCAAATGTCCAAGCGGACATTAACCAAGTCTTTAAAATGGTCCTCAGAAAAAAAATATGACGGTCAAAAAAGACAGATCTCACTCTGCTATGGGAACACTCTAGGAAATGAAAACTGGATTGGAGTATAAAACAAATTCCAACCACAATATAGAACTAAAAACTAATGGGAAAGACCTAGGAGAGATAATGTCGGAGAATCTCTCTTTCAAATATCACAACAAT